ATATACCACACACACACGCGCGCGCACACACACACACCACACAGCACACACACACACACAACACAACACAGGCACGCAGCCACGCGCACGCCACGCACGCACAAACACGCAACACACACACACGCACACACACAACCACACACACATACACGCACCACACATATACCACACACAAAGGCACACACACACGCTCACGCACACGAGCACCACGCACACGCACACGCACACGCACACGCACACGCACACGCACACGCACACGCCACGCACACGCCACACGCACACGCACACGCACACGCACCGCTCGCAATGAATACGCACACGGAATATGCAGCCGGCACGCACACGCACACCACACGATCGCCCAATCACTCACTCACTCATCACTCACTCACGCCACTCACTCACTCACTCACTCACTCACTCACTCACTCACTCACTCATCACTCCACGCACTCACACACACTCACATCACTCACACACACTCACTCACTCACTCACGCACTCACTCACTCACTCGACTCACTCAACTCACGCACTCACGCACTCACTCACGCACTCACTCACTTCACTCACTTCACTCACACACACACACACACACACACACACACACACACACACACACACACACACTCACTTACTCACTCACTCACCCATTTACTTACGCACTCACTCACTCACTCACTCACTCACTCACTCACTCACTCACTCACTCACTCACTCACTCACTCACTCGCGGATAGACGGTACTAGCAGTACGTACCTTTCCACGATCACTCTTCCGCTGTGCACGGTAGCGCTTGCCGCTCTGATAACCCCGACACACACACGAGGTACGGACAGATGGATAAACACGCGCACGCGCACGCGGCGCGGCAGCACAAACAAATGTATTCAGCAGCGATCGCTTGCACAGCGATATAGTCACCGCAGCACGGGTCCTTCCTCCGCTGCCTCGCTCACGCGCGCGCACGCGCACGCTTATTGGCCAAGACGCGTTTGTAGCGACAACAACTTCTGTCGTCTTTATACGAGAGCCAGGCAGCAGGGCCGTAGATACGATTCCGCGAGTGATTCGGTTTCAAAACAAACAGGAGTGACGGCTTGATGCATTCCCGCGTGAGGACGCGTGGCGCGGCGCACCCCGCGGGATAGGGAGTGGCGTCGCGTCGTACGTGAATGTGTAGTGTGGGGCCACGTGCCGCGGGCCGCAATCACACGCTCGCGTCTTTTGCCGAGGTCGTTACATACCAGGAGATATTACATGAAACCAGCCGAAATGATGATCGGGGGGATCAGCGTTCATGCGATAGCGTGGTGTAAACGTCTGGTGTGATGTGCGTGCGTGCGTGCGTCGTGGCGTGTGGGGGGGGGAGTGTTGGGTGGGGTGGGCTGTGGGTGTGTGTGGGTGTGTGTGGTGTGTGCTGGGTGTGTGCTGTGTCAGTGTGTGGTGTGTGGGGGGGGGGGGGGGCAGGTGCTGTGCGTGTGGTGCGAGTGTGCGTGTGTAATCTGTGCTGCGTGACGTGCGTGCGTGCGTGCGTGTGCGTGCGTGTGTGCGTGTGTGCGCGCACGTGTGTTGCGTTTGTGCGTGAAAGAATGTGTGTAATCCCCGTATAATTCGGTAGCAATACATATAAGAGCAATTTTAGAAAGCAATAATTCCGACTATGAAACACGTGTGCGGAAAAAGACCATGAAATACGTTTGCGAAACACAGCCGTAATGTAATTGAAGGCTTTGCCTATAATTTCCACGCGGGGGGGCTGCTTTTGCAACGCGTTTGATGACTACGACATACATGTGCGAATTAACTACTTCAAGTAAAGTATCATTGTTTTTAAAAAAATGCTGGCCCTTTTGTTTTTTTTTTAAATTATTAACAGGACTCGCAACAGGATTCCCCGAGTATTTTAGTTCAATATCAAATGGAAGACCTCGGTGAAGCGATAACACCCGCGTAACATGTGAAGGTCCTACTCTATAATCTAACGACACTGAAAAAGCAAATACATGCGCATTATGTGATAGTAGTCCACTTAGACTAACAAGCACAAGACAGATAATATCACCGCTGCCCTTGCGCTACCGCGAACCGAATCTTTAAGAAAAGGAACCACTGTCTTGTCAGCTAATAACCGAGGGTTTTAGCACATCTCTAACACGTATTTAGTCGCATTAAGTCCGGATAATGAGTCGATGTTTGTCCTTATGCTCGTCCGTACGCGTGGCCATCGAGGCAATAGCGCCACGGGGGTGTCCTGGCATTGGAAATAACAACTGAAATCTCAGTGGCTTCAGTCGAGCTATGCATATTATAGACATATAGCATATATAGCGCTATGCATATATAGACATATGTAGCATCAGAAGTAGATAATAGGGAATTATAGGAAATATTATAGGGAATATATCGCGCTTTGCATATATAAACATATATAGCATATATCGCGCTGTGCACATAGAGACATAAGCTGCGTTCACACGAGGATTTTAGTTCCGTATTTAAGCGTTCACACGCTAAAATATACGCGGCTTGCTTAGGCCACGGCATTGCCTTAGCTACCGATTGCTCCGCTTGCTTAAGCGCGGAAAACATATTCCGCGCCAACTAAGGCCGCGGTATATTCGGCCACCACGCTGGGCGCGCGTATTGTTGTCGTGCTGAACGCGTTTTTTTTTCGGAATTGGCGAAACTGTAGACGCGCTAACCTAGACTGCTACCCGTTCGCTGACGACGCGTTAGAATTGTAGCGTGTGGAACTAGGTCGAACTGGGTACCAGTCTATATTGATACCTATAAGCTAGCTAAGGCTCGAATACTCGTGTATGCTCGTGTGAACGCATTTTAGCCGAACTTAGACCAACTAAGGTACCGTACCAGCTAGGCGTGTATACGTGTGAACGCAGCATATTATAGCAATATACGCGCTGAATGTATATAGAAGACATATATATGGCATAATATCGCCCGCTGGGCTATAGAAGACACATAAGCTATTATATCCAGCTGTGCTATAGAGACATATATAGCCATATAATCCGAGCTGTGCATATTAAGACACATATAGCATATAATCGAGCTGTGCATATAGAGACATATAGCATATATCGCGCTGTGTAATATAGCAGACATATATAGACTATATCGCGCTGTGCATATAGAACATATATATAGCATAATCGCGCATGATGCATATAGCAACATATATAGTCATAATCGCACTGATGCATATAGAGACATATGGCATTCTATAAATCGAGCTCGTGCATATAGCAGACATATATAAGCCATATATCGCGCTGTGCATATAGAGACATATATAGCATATATCGCGCTGTGCATATAGAGACATATATAGCATATATCGCCACTGTGCATATAGAGACATATATAGCATATACTCGCGCTCGTGCAAAGAGACCATATATAGCATATATCGCGCTTTGCATATAGAAACATATAATTATAGCATATAACGCAGGCTATGCATTTTATAGCAGACATAATTATATCTCCAACTTACTTCGGATTGAACGTACTTGGATGAACTTACTTCGGATTGAACGTACTTGGATGAACTTACTTCGGATTGAACGTACTTCGTGTGCATTAATCGTCCTTAATAATAGAGTAACACTAATAACCGAAGCGCGCCACTGTTGACCCGTCTTTCCACTCCGTCTTCTACTGGACCTCGTTGAAATTCAACATCCACGTTACGAAATCTTACGTAACTCGAAACTCATTCGAATAACGTCGCTCCGGTTTACCGGACTACCGCACGTGTTTTTATTTTGGAACACGAGACGTAGTTAGCTCGCATAACGTGATTAGGTGTATCATATTCTCCTTACGTAATCTATTCTTAATCTTCCCTTTAAACGGCGAAGAATATGGTATTAATAAGACCAATTCTTCATACGAATACGTGGTCAGCTGCAATGCGTTTGTTTTTTAAATTATTTTTGAAAAATAGCGTAGAATAGTCCTGCTTTCATTCTGCTCCAGCTGTGTTGCGATATAAAAGCAGGACGCCATTAACCCTTATATAGGTGACACATGTGCCACGTTTGCGTGATCAAATTTTTTACGGGATGCTATAAAAATGAATAAATATATCAAGAGCTAATAAACACCTATAGTTATGGTATTTAGACCTGGTATTTATTAGCTGGTGTTTATAGTGCTGGTTGGTTATAGTGCTAGTTTTTGTTGGTTATAAGACCTGGTATTTATTAGCTG